TAGGCACATTCATGTGAGATTACTGATGTGAATTCGTTGGCAACATTCCTAAAAAATTGAGGACATGCATGATCAATCTCCAAGAGGCTTCAGAGAGTAAAATATTCGCTTGCATGAAATAAGAATACCTCACCATGCAGTGCTGAAGGCATCAGAGCTTTCTCATGTCAATTCATCTTCAGTATTCCTCAAAAATTCAAAACACATATCGTCAGACTCCAAGTGACTTCAGAGAGTTCCACTTTTTTGCTTGAAATTAGTATACCTCACCTTGCATTGGCAGCACCAGCCGAGATTAATTATCACAACTCATCGGCTGCATTCCTTAAAAGTTTGAACCATGTGCGATCAGAATCCAAGGGACTTCAGCGAGGTTTCCTTTCTGCTTGAAATTCGTGTACCTCCCCTTGCCCTGGCAGGTTCATGTGAGATTACTGATGTCAATTCATTGGCCACATTCCTAAAAAACTGAAAACATGTATGATCAGTCTCCAAGAGACTTCAGAGAGTCAAATATTTTCTTGCTTGAAGTTGGTTCACCTCCCCTTGCACTGTTGGGTCCATCAGAGATTTCTCACGTCAATTCATTGGCAGTATTCCTAAAAAAGTCAAAACATGTGTGATCAGTCACCAAGTAACTTCAGAGAGTAACGCATTTTTGCTTGAAACTCAGATGCGTCACCTCGCATTGGCCGCTCCATGAGGTATTACTGAGGTCCGTTTATCTGCAGCATTCCCAAAAGTTTCAAAAAATGTATGATCAGACTCCAAGTGACTAGAGACATTTACACGATTTTGTTTGCAGTGACTACACCTCACCTAGCACTGGCGGATCCATCAGAGATGTCTCATGTCAATTCCCCTGCAGTATTCCTAAAAAATTCAAAATACATATCCTCAGACTGCAGGTGACCTCAGACACTACATTGTTTTTGCTTGAAAGTAGCATACCTCTCCTTGTACTGGTGCGTCCATCGGAGATTCCTGATGTCAATTCATGTGCAACATTCCTTAGAAATGGAAAACATGTATGATCAGAGTCCTAGTGACTTCAGGGAGGTACACTTTTTGCTTGAAATTAGTATACCTAACCTTGCAGGGGCACATTCCTGTGAGATTACTGATGTCAATTCCTTGGCAATATTCCTAAAAAATTGAAAATCTGTATGATCAGACTGTACGAGACTGCACAGCGTAAAATATTTGTGTGCTTGAATTTGGAATACCTCACCTTGTACCGGTGGGTCCATCAGAGATTTCCCATGTCAATTCCTCTGCAGGATTCCTAAGAAATTCAAAACACATATCATCAGACTCCAAGTGACCTCAGGGAGTTACACTTTTTTGCTTGACATTAGTCTACCTCACCTTGCAAAAGCGCCACCATCAGGGATTGCTGAAGTCAATTCATCTGCAGCGTTCCTAAAAAGATCAAAACATGTACGATCAGACTCCAACTGACTTCCGCGGCTAACACCATTTTGCTTGAAACTCGTATGCCTCACCTTGCATTGGCGGCACCATCAAATGTTACTGAGGTCAAATCATCTGCAGCATTCCTAAAATATTCAGAACATGAATGATCAGACTCCAAGTGACTTCAGAGAGTTACACGTTTTTGCTTGAAAGTAGTATACCTGTCCATGTACTGGAGCTTCCATCAGAGATTGCTGAAGTGGATTCATGGGCAGCAGTCCGCAGACATTCAAATCATGCATGAGCAGACTCCAGGGGACTTCAGCGAGGTACACTTTTTGCTGGAAATTAGTGCACCTAACCTTGCNTCGGAGATTCCTGATGTCAATTCATGTGCAACATTCCTTAGAAATGGAAAACATGTATGATCAGAGTCGTAGGGACTTCAGGGAGGTACACTTTTTGCTTGAAATTAGTATACCTAACCTTGCAGGGGCACATTCACGTGAGATTACTGATGTCATTTCTTTGGCAATATTCCTAAAAAATTGAAAATATGTATGATAACCCTCTATGAGACTGCACAGTGTAAAATGTTTGTGTGCTTGAATTTAGAATACCTCTCCTTGTACCGTTGGGTCCATCAGAGATTTCTCATGTCAATTCCTCTGCAGGTTTCCTAAAAAATTCAAAACACATATCATCAGACTCCATGTGACTTTGGGGAATTACACTTTTTTGCTTGACATTAATATACCTCAACTTACAAAATCGCCACCATCAGGGATAGCTGAAGTCAATCCATCTGAAGGATTCCTAAAAAGTTCTAAACATGTATGATCAGACTCCAACTGACTTCAGAGACTAACACAATTTTGTTTGAAACTCGTATGCCTCACCTTGCACTGGCGGCATCATCAAATGTTACTGAGGTCAAATCATCTGCAGCATTCCTAAAATATTCAGAACATGAATGATCAGACTCCAAGTGACTTCAGAGATATACACATATTTGCTTGAAAGTAGGATACCGTCCATGTACTGGTGCTTCCATCAGAGATTGCTGAAGTCGATTCATGTGCAGCAGTCCCCAAAAATTCACGTCATGTATGTGCAGACTCCAGGGGACTTCAGCGAGTTACACTTTTTGCCGGAAATTAGTGCACCTAACCTTACATAGGCACATTCATGTGAGAATACTGATGTGAATTCATTGGCAACATTCCTAAAAAATTGAGAACATGCATGATCAGTCGCTAAAGGGACTTCAGAGAGTGAAATATTCGCCTGCAGAAATAAGAATACCTCACCATGCAGTGATGAATGCTTCAGAGATTTCTCATGTCTATCCATGTTCAGTATTGCTCAAAAATTCAAAACACATATCGTCAGACTCCAAGTGACTTCAGAGAGTTCCAGTTTTTTGCTTGAAAGTAGTATACCTCACCTTGCATTGGCAGCTCCAGCCGAGATTAATTATCTCAACTCATTGGCAGCATTCCTTAAAAGTTTGAGCCAT